GCATCACCAGCATCGTCATCATCAGCATCATCATTACGGTCGTCATCATTAGCATCGTCATCACAAGCATCAAAGTCGATATTATCTTCAACAAAACCGTCATCATCATTATCATCCTCCTCCTCCTCCCCCTCCTCCCCATCACCGTCGTCATCATCAACATCGTCGTTGTCGTCGCCGTCATCATCATCATGACCATCATCAGCATCAGTACCAGCATCATCAAAAACAGCAGCATCATCATCATCCGCATCATCAGCGTCATCATCATCATCAGCCTCAGAATCATCATCGTCATCTTCATCATCAGCCTCATCAGCGTTCTCAGCATCGTCACCATCGCCATCAGCACCACCACCAGCACCATTATTGTTACCATCATCAACATCATCAGCGTCACCAATACCTTGGGCAGCATCATCACCACCACCACCATCACCAACTCCTACATCACCATCATCAGCATAAGCATCATCAACAACACCAGTATCACCACACTCATCAGCTTCACCAGCGTTGACATTGTCAGCATCATCATCAGCAGCAGGTTCATCATCATCATCAGCAGCAGCAACATCATCATCATCATCATCATCATCATCATCATCATCATCATCATCATCATCATCATCATCAGTATTATCAGCAGCAGCATCATCATCAGCATGATCATCATCAGCATCGTCGTCAGCAGCATCATTAGCATCATCATCAGCAACACCATCGTCATCACCACATCACCATCATGATCACCACAAGCACCATTGTCATCCTCAACAAAACCAGCATCATCATTTTCATCATCACTTTCATAATCATCAGCAGCATCGTCGTCGTCCTCGCCATCATCATCACAATCAGTATCAGCATCAGCATCATCAACAACAGCAGCAGCATCATCATCTCCAGCTTCATCATCAGCGTCATCATCATCATCATCATCATCATCATCATCAGCCTCATCAGCATCATCATCGTCATCATCATCCTCAGCATCGTCATCAGCATCTTCATCACCACCACCAGCATCATCATCGTTATCATCATCAGCACCATGATCATCGCCACCTATATGTTGAGCATCATCATCATCGCCACCACCATCACCATCACCAAACCCAAACATCCTCACCATCAGTATCAGCATCATCAACAATATCAGTATTATCACAATCGGCATCTTCACCAGCGGCATCATCGTCAGCATCATCATCAGCAGCCGCATCATCATCATCATCAGCATCGTCATCAGCATCATAATTGTCATCATCATGATAATCACCAACTGCATCAATATCAAAATCACCATCATCATCATTATCAGCATCAAAATCGCCATCATCATCAAAAACACCGTCATCATCATTATCATCATCCTCCACATCATCATCATCATCATCATCATCATCATCATCATCATCATCATCATCATCATCATCAGAATCAGCATCGTCGTCACCGTCGCCATCATCAGCATCATAATCATCATCAGCATTCGCATCAGCATCATCAACAACAGCAGCATCATCACCATCCGCATCCTCATCATCAGCGTCATCATCATCGTCATCAGCAGCAGCATCATCATCGTCAGCATCATCATCATCACCAACATCCTCAGCATCGTCATCATCATCACCGCCACCAGCATCATCATCATCGTTAGCATCATCAGAATCATCATCCTCGTCACCTATATCTTGAGAATCACCATCACCACCACCACCATCACCATCACCAACCCTAACATCATCACCATCAGTATCAGCATTATCATCAGCATCAGTGACATCACACTCGTCATCTTCCCCAGCGTTGTCATCGTCAGCATCATCATCATCAGCAGCATCATCAGCATCGTCATCAGCATCAGCATCATCATCAGAATCATCATCAACATCATCATAATCACCATCAGCATCAATATCCTAACCACCATCAGCAGCAGCATCATCATCACGTCATCATAGTTCTCCTCTCCGCCTCCTCATCCCCCTAGCACGTGAAGTGTGCCGCTGGAGAGCGCAGTCGCTCGCAGCAGCATCCACCTCTACACATGCGCGTTCGCACGCGGCTCTTCGCCTCCATCCTCGCAACTTACTATCGGGGATTGGGTGGCCCAAGGTGTCCCCAGCTTTCCGCTCCATTTTGGAGCCCCTGGGGCCCTCTGGGCCTCGTGAGGGGTGCTCTGGAGACCGCTAGGGCCTCCCTTGAAAATCCTGAGGACACCTTGGGCCAGGGACACTTCTGGCGACACCTGAGCCCTAAGGCCCAATCCCAGATCGTCGCTACCATTCGTGACTTGTTCAATCCCAAAGTTTGTTCCTCGATTTTGGACTCCAGGGCCCATTAGTAGGTCCCAGGACCATCAGAAACGAAAACTGCCCCTGGGGAAGGGGTCGGCACCACTGTGGCCGCACATTGAAAAACCACATGGTCAGGTCAGATATGTGGGATCTCTGTCTTGACCATGCTGTCTCGGGGGATCCCGTAAGCGAGGTCGATGATAGTAGGAGGACGCCAACTATACACCTACACCAATCATGGCCAGTCAAATCCTGGGCCCAGGGTCGGTGCATACTTCCTCCTGGCTGAGCCCTGAAGAGACGTACACCGATCCTGAGACCAGGGTCAGCCTGGCCAGGATCGGTGTGGGTGCATACTGTCCGGAACTTTTCACGCGCGTCGCGGCGATCGCCCCGGCGACAGGCTATGCCCTGCAAGCGGATAGCGTGTCGCTCCGCGCTGAGGCGGGAGGCGAGGGCTGGGCAAGGCGCGTGAAGCCGACACCTGGGAATCGAGAAGTGGTGGCTTGCGTGGCGCGCCGAAGCGTGGTGAGCCAGAACCGGCGGCGCGACACGCTAAGCAAACATTTGAAGGGGCCCTGGGACACTTAAATAAGTAGACACTAATAACCAGATTCCCAATTTTTTCCATATTTTATGGGTTTTCGTCTTCCCCCCACTTCCCATATTTTCGCATATTTTGGGGGGAGTCGACCATTAATTGTGTCTGTGTGTTTCTTCCCCTCCTGAACATTCCTGGCCGTAGTTGGCGCCCTCCTGAGTGAAGAGGTGGAGTCGCGACCGGAGCCGCGGGAGGATCCGCGGGCCTGGGCGGGAGCCGAGTCGGGGCCTGGCCTGCGGCCCCATCAGGGCGCGGCGTCTGTGTCGGGGGCGAGGCCGGCGCAGACGAGGAGGAGGAGGAGGAGGAGGAGGACTGGAGAAGGAAGAGGAGAGGAGAGGAGGGGGGTGGAAGTGGAAGGGGGAGGAGGATCAGCAGGAAGGGCAACTTTACTCTGCTCGCTGGCGCTCCTGAGACGGCGTAGCCAGAAAGCCCGAAAAGACATGAGCATAAACTGTCGGAGCTTCGCGCGGAGTTCTTGGGTCGGCGCTGGATCCACCTTGACGGCGCCTCTGGCGCCGCACCTGGCGCGCACCGTGCGCCAAGGGAGGGGGCCCAGCGTCGACAGAAAAAATCCGTGCAGACCTCAGAGAATCAATGTATATATGTGTGTAAATGTATAAACATATAAATATATATACATACATACATACATACATACATACATACATACATACATACATACATACATACATACAGACAGACATACATACATACATACATACATACATACATACAGACAGACAGACAGACATACATACATACATATACACATATATCTATATACATATGAAAATATTATGTACATATAGATATATACATATATGTTGATGCGCATTTCCCCTTAACAGGAATGCGAAAAGTGTGGCGCCCGCGTGCCGTGGCGTGCCCGCGCTCCGTGCCGCAGCAGAGTTCAAAAATAACGACAAATTATGCCTTCTCCGTGCTGTGCCGTTCCCGCGTGCCGTGACGTGCCGGCGTTCTCGAATGCGAAGCCCGCGTGCCGTGCCCGTGCCGTGCCGCGCCGCGCCCGCAGGCCGTGCCGTGCCCGCGTGCCGTGCCGTGTGGCGCCCGCAGGCCGCGCCTCGGTTTTCAGAAGGAAGACAGCGTGCCGCCCGCGCGCCCTGACGTGCCGTGCTGTGCCCGTGACGTGCGCGGACCACACCGTGCCCGCGTGCCATGTCGTGCACGCGCACGCCATTGTTGGCTCACCCATGCGTCTTCTTGTACAGCGTTGCTCCTCCGGGTCCGTGTTCCGGCGTGATGCTTCACAAGGAGGACAGACATGCTGCCATCGTGCTACCATAAAAATCACCACATACACACACACACACACACACACACACACACACACTTTTTGCGTCGGCGGCTGGGCAGAAGTCGACTGCTCCGGCGGAAGGGCAACAGGGGACACGCCGTGTGCAAATTAAGGCCGCAAGGCACGGAGGAGGAGGAGCCCTGGCACGACGGGGGGAGAGGACGCCGGGCCACTCAGAGCTGCCGGCGGCGGCAGGGGACAGCGCCGGGGGGGGCAATGTGTGTGTGTGTGTTTATTTTTCTGGCCTCGGTGAGCCTCGGCCACGCATAGCTCGCTCGCTTCGGTCTCAGGACCGGCCCCAAAGCCAGACATCCTCCTGAGCCGATCTCGACTGCAGGCTCGAGTACGGCTTCTCCTCGAGGGGGTAAGCCTCAAGCAGCCCTGGAGAACCCTCTCCACACTTCGGGCACACGCTGGCACGGATGAGGGGTCCGTGGATCGGGGAAGGGGTCCCCCGCGAAGCACGAGGCCAGTCCCGCCCGGAGCGCGCCGATACTGCACGGAAGCGGGACCCGTCGCTGATCCAGCAGCCTCAAATCCATGTTGGCGCTTCATCGGCTCTTGGTCTGGCTCGTGCTCTCACGGACCCCTTGACAGCACAGGTGCGACAACACAAACAAATGCGAAAAACAAACTTGAGCTGTTCATCGCACCTGAGTTGGTGCATCGCATTTGAGTTGGTTTATCGCATTCGGGCCGAGCACTGTCGCCACTGCAGCGCGTGATTGCACGAGTAGCCGCAGGTGTGCATGCACGCGCGCATGTATCTAGTGCGACATCACTGGATCATCCAGTCGCAGAGGCCGCAGGTCACGGCGGGGCACGCCGGCCAGCCGCGGCTAAGCTCCATCTGCAAGATCACGCGCCGGCCCAGGGACACCAAGAGGTGGCCGGGCAGGGTCCCGCCGAGGTCGTCGTCGTGGTCGCGCGTCGTCGTCGTCTTGGTCGTCGTCTTGGCCGTCATCTTGGTCGTCGTCGTCGTCATCGTCGTCGTCGTCGGTGACGGCGTCGTCATCGTCGGTGGCGGCGTCGTCGCCGTCGGCGCCACTTCGGCTTGGGATGTCGCGAGGTTCCCTGCGCCACGAGGTGGCTCGACTTGATGTGATTTGGATGTTGGTCATCGTCGTTGTCCATTTGTTCCTCATCCTCCTCCTCCTCCTCCTCCTCGACCTCCTCCTCCTCCTCCTCCTCCTCCTCCTCCTCCTCCTCCTCCTCCTCCTGGCTAGGGTGTGGCGGGAGGACGGCCAAGCTGCGGGTGGGTGTCGCAAGAACCGTCGCAGGGCGCTTGCCTGCGACTTGCTGGCAGGTGTCGGGCGGCTGGGTCCACGAGAGGCCGATTATCCACGGCCCAGGCACGGTGGCGAGATGGGTCGAAAGCCATTAGATCTGCCGCCTCGTAGCCTGCGGAGGGGTGTTGGCGTGCTGGATGTTATACCTCTGCTGGCCCCTTGCGAGAAGTTCCCGGTAGCCACCTGCCCACGATGCCGCCACCCCGGAAAAACAGCAAATTCAGCACAACTCAGATCCAAGATGGCTTAAGATGGCATTCAAAACGGCCACGAAGCGCCTCCAAGACGGACAAGATGGCCCCAAGAGAGCCCGCGATGCTTCAAAGACGGCGCAGGATGGCCGCAAGACGGCCCAGTAGGCCCCCAAGACGACACAGAAGAGCTCCAAGGGGACCCCAGGAGAAGAAACAAACTTACAATGTGCTTCTTCGGTGTTCGCATTCTCGGGTTCTCTGGCTTCCGAAAGTACCAGACAGCACAAGAGACCCCCAAGATCGCCTCAAGACGGCCCAAGAGGCCCCTGAGAGGGCGCCAAGAAGGACCAAGATGGCCCCAAAACGATCCAAATGCGGCCCAAAGATGGCCCGACAGGGTCCCAAGATGGCCCAAGAGAGTCCCGAGACGGCCCCCACGAGCCCCAAGGTCCCCAAACGTTCCAGAGAGGCCCCCAAGACGGTCTCCGAAGGTGCCAGGCGGCCCGAGAGCACCCTGAGACGGCCCAAGGAAGCCCCAAGTTGGCCCAAGAGAGCCCAAGAAGCCCTCAAGAAGGCCGACACTGCTTCAGAAGAGCCCGAAGATGACCCCAGAGGGCCCCCTCCCCGGTGTTCCCTCAGTGATTCCCCCAAGCGCTGGGGGAAAACGCAGCCCACTAGCATGAACCATCGCTCGACATTTCACGACACAGGCGTTTTCCAAAAGGCAGGGGGGGCGGTGGTTCGCCGTAGGCGTCTCCGATCTTTGGTGGACACGGGCGTGGACAATCAGATGGACAGGGAGAAGAAACAAGCAGAAGGACAATGACAAGCAGAAAGAGGACGGGAGGGAGGAAGAAGAGAGGAGGAGAGAAGGAGGGAAAGGGAGGAGGGGAGAAAGCAGAGAAGGAGAGAACGAAAAGGAGAAGGAGAATCAGCGGCAGGATGGCAGGACGGGAGATGAGCAGGGGAAGGCGCCGCGAGGCGAAGGACAAAGAAGGGAGCGAGGAGGACAGGGAGGAGCAGCACGGGCGCGAGGAGGAGCAGCAGCAGCAGCGCTCGCGCCGGCGTTATCCAGTGCATGCACTCGTCGCCGTAGAAGAACACGCAGTCCCCCCGACGCAGTTCTACCCGACGCTCCACGCCATCGTCCCCTGAGCAGATCGAAGCAGAGGGCAGAAGTAAGCAAAGAAGCATGAGTGAAGGAAGGGGCAGATGCAGAGGCAGCGGGAGAGGTAGAGGAATACACAGAGGGACTGCGACAGGGTTGGAGACAGACGCCAGCACAGGACACGAAGCTATTGGATTCGTGGGAAAGCATGCAACTCGAGGGGGTGGACAGGAGGGCGTCGAGATCAAGTGAGACATGAGCACACCTCGCTAACTCACTCCTTGTACTTCCTCCCCTTCGCCGCAGCGCCATTCATTCCCACGGCCCTCTCCATTCCAGCGCAGCAAAAGCGTATGTAGGAAGGGTGCAAGGGGCACGAGCAATTCGCAGCTGGGCTCCTTCAAAATAGTTCACCCCGCCCTGAAACTCGCTCGGGTCTGACAACAAGATGACCATCGAGACCTGGGACTGGTTGTCGGTGTGGCGGTTGATGGTACCGCACGGGGAGAGCAGCGGAGAGGACGCTTACAGTGCGCCTTTCGCATGAGAAATCGCCCAAGTGAGAGCAGAAGGTCATCGGAGCCGGTGGGAAACAATCAAATTATGCTAACGGAGTTCCCCACATAAAGAAATTAACGGTTTCGTGGGACCCATTTTCTTGATGCCCTCCTCGCTTTGGCGGGGCCCCGCTGGAAGCGGGGAGGGCTACGAAACCTGGCGAAGAGTAATGCTTTCCGCGGCCCTCCTCGTTCAGGCGCGGCCTCTCTGGAGGAGTGGAGGGGGGACACGAAACCGTGTAAACAGCATGTTTTCCGATACCCTCCAGGAAGAGGAGGAGGAGGAGGAGGAGGAGGAGGAGGAGGAGGAGGACGAAGAGGATAAGATGGATGATGGCGAAGAGCAGCAGCAGGAACCGCAGCAGGAGCAGCAGCGGGAGGTTGGTTTGAGTGGTCTCATTTTCCTCGTGAGGTCCGATTCGCGAGGTTGGTCTGAGTGGTCTCATTTCCCTCGTCCAGTCGAGGTTATACAAGAGGGTGGGTGACACGAGTTCGCTAGACGAAAGCACTTGCCGAGGTGTCTGGTAACTACAATTCGAACGCAGACACTGATCGGCCAAGAGCGGTTTAAAAGACTGCCACTAATCTGCCAAAAAATGTATCGCTGCATTTTGGTTTTGTGCACACGGCGTTGGTGGTTTCCTCGCTCAGGCGGGGCCTCCCTGAAGGGGTGGGAGGGGCACGAAACCGTGTAAACAGCATGGTTTTCCTATACCCTCCTCGCTCAGGCGGGGCCTCTCTAGAGGGGTGGGAGGGGCACGAAACCATGTAAATAGTATGGTTTTCCGATATCCTCCTCGCTCAGGCTGGGCCTCCCTGCAGGGGTGGGAGGGGCACGAAACCATGTAAATAGTATCGTTTTCGGATACCCTCCTCGCTCAGGCGGGGCCTCCCTGGAGGTGTGGGAGGGGCACGAAACCATGTAAATAGTATGGTTTTCCGATACCCTCCTCGCTCAGGCGGGGCCTCCCTGGAGGGGGGGAGGGGCACGAAACCATGTAAATAGTATGGTTTCCGATACCCTCCTCGCTCAGGCGGGGCCTCCCTGGAGGGGTGGGAGGGGCACGAAACCATGTAAATAGTATGGTTTTCCGATACCCTCCTCGCTCAGGCGGGGCCTCCCTGGAGGGTGGGAGGGGCACGAAACCATGTAAATAGTATGGTTTTCCGATACCCTCCTCGCTCAGGCGGGGCCTCCCTGGAGGGGTGGGAGGGGCACGAAACCATGTAAATAGTATGGTTTTCGGATACCCTCCTCGCTCAGGCGGGGCCTCCCTGGAGGGTGGGAGGGGCACGAAACCATGTAAATAGTATGGTTTTCGATACCCTCCTCGCTCAGGCGGGGCCTCCCTGGAGGGGTGGGAGGGGCACGAAACCATGTAAATAGTATGGTTTTCCGATACCCTCCTCGCTCAGGCGGGGCCTCCCTGGAGGTGTGGGAGGGGCACGAAACCATGTAAATAGTATGGTTTTGCCTCCCTGGAGAGGTGGGATGGGGCACGAAACCATGCGGGGCCTCCCTGCAGGGGTGGGAGGGGCACGAAACCATGTAAATAGTATGGTTTTCGGATACCCTCCTCGCTCAGGCGGGGCCTCCCTGGAGAGGTGGGAGGGGCACGAAACCATGTAAATAGTATGGTTTTCGATACCCTCCTCGCTCAGGCGGGGGAGGTGTGGGATCGGATACCCTCCTCGCTCAGGCGGGGCCTCCCTGGAAGGGTGGGAGGGGCACGAAACAATGTAAATAGTATGGTATACCCTCCTCGTAGGTATGGCATGGTACGGTATGGTATGATATGGTATGGTATGGTACTGGAGGTATGGTATGGTATGGTACGGTGTGGCATTGGTGTGATATGGTATGGTATGCTATGGTACGCCATGGTATGGTATGGTACGGTATGGTACGTATGGTATGTGTGTATGGTATGGTATGGTATGGTATGGTATGTGTGGTAGGAACTATGGTATGGTATGGTGTGTGGTAGGAATAATATTGTGCTGTATGGAAGATGGAGCGGGAGGTGGGTGGGAAGGAGAGGGTGTTCTGGGAAAACAAGAACCCCACTCAGGATGCGGGGAATTATGCTAACGGAGTTCCCCACATAAAAAGATTAACGGTTTCGTGGTACCCATTTTCTTAATGCCCTCCTCGCTTTGGCGGGGCCCCCTGGAGGGGTGGGAGGGGCACGAAACCATGTAAATAGTATGGTTTTCCGATACCCTCCTCGCTCAGGCGGGGCCTCCCTGGAGGGGTGGGAGGGGCACGAAACCATGTAAATAGTATGGTTTTCCGATACCCTCCTCGCTCAGGCGGGGCCTCCCTGGAGGGGTGGGAGGGGCACGAAACCATGTAAATAGTATGGTTTCCGATACCCTCCTCGCTCAGGCGGGGCCTCCCTGGAGGGGTGGGAGGGGCACGAAACCATGTAAATAGTATGGTATTCCGATACCCTCCTCGCTCAGGCGGGGCCTCCCTGGAGGGGTGGGAGGGGCACGAAACCATGTAAATAGTATGGTATTCCGATACCCTCCTCGCTCAGGCGGGGCCTCCCTGGAGGGGTGGGAGGGGCACGAAACCATGTAAATAGTATGGTATTCCGATACCCTCCTCGCTCAGGCGGGGCCTCCCTGGAGGGGTGGGAGGGGCACGAAACCATGTAAATAGTATGGTTCCGATACCCTCCTCGCTCAGGCGGGGCCTCCCTGGAGGGGTGGGAGGGGCACGAAACCATGTAAATAGTATGGTTTCCGATACCCTCCTCGCTCAGGCGGGGCCTCCCTGGAGGGGTGGGAGGGGCACG